GTGTGTGTGTGTGTTTGTGTGGGTCTGTGTGTGGTCTGTGTGTGTGTGTGTCTGTGTGTGAGTGTGTGTGTGAGTGTGTGTGTGTGTGTTGTGTGTGTGTGTATGTGTGTGTGTGTGTTGTGTGTGTGTGTGTTGTGTGTGTTGTTTGTGTGTTGTTTCGGTGTCGTCGTTGTGTGTGTGTTGTGTGTGTGTGTGTGTTGTGTGTTGTTGTGTGTGTGTGTGTGTGTGTGTGTGTGTATGTGTGTGTGTATGTGTTTGCGCGCGCGCGCGTGTGTGTGTGGCTATATGTGTGATGGAATCTGTGTATCCATCAGAATAACCTGGCTGTGATAATATCATGTACAACACGTTGTAGTGAGTGAAACTGTTGTTTTCCACAGAGCGGCTTCCGGCACGTGGCTCAGCACTGGTTGGTTCACCATGCTAGTTGCCATGGAGATGTGTGACGTCATCAAAGTGTACGGACTGAGCAGCGAGGACTATTGCAAGTAAGAAGCACGCCTCTAAAGTCTCCATCAAACATCATATTTTCAGATGTAGCAAAATTACCAGACGTAGTCCTCCTGGTCTCATGTATTATTACTAAGTTTAAAGGTCGCCGAAACATAATTATTTCAATGCACCTTTGCTTTAAAATTGTAAGGATAAACAAGAAAACTGATAAAGATATTTCATAATCGATATATCGTAGTCCAAGTGCAGCATACAATATTGTAAAAACATGTAACACGTTTACTTCAGCTTATAGCAATGTAAGGACGACAATTTGAATTGGGACCATCTGATGTAGTCATCGCTGACAACACCAACACGAATTCTGATATTATAAACTGTTCTTGTACGCTTGTTTCACAGGTCTCACCCTAACGACACGACTCGGTACCACTACTATGAGAGCGTCCTGAAGTGGCTGGGACCTCAGACTAAGGAGTGCGACTTTTACCGGAGGAACCAGAGAATTGCGAACGGCGCGCACCGCTACTTCACGGAGAAGTCCATTTTCTCGCGCTGGGCGCCTATTCATAACATCACGTTTCTCTACCCGGCTTGGAGTCCATAATAATCACAGTCGCTAGGCGGCGTTTCATCTCGCTAACGAACTGCAGGGATAATCATGACAGTCGCTAGGCGGCATCCAACTGCAACCATAAGAATGACAAGCGCAATGTTTGGCGCACCTCAGCATTTTCTCGTATTCCTCATATTGGAAATGTTCTGACTCCTTCTCACACATAACATTGTCATTGAAAATATACATGATGCTCCCGTAGAGAAATCCACAGCACAGGGGGGGGGGGTCACGTTACGTCACCTTTGTCACCAGGTGGTTAGATAATAGCCGTATGAGCACGCCTGTTGTCTGGCTACTTTTGTGAATGTTTAAATGTTACCATATGATTACCTCCATGAAATGTGTCATGGAGGTTATATTTTCAGTTGCGTTTATCTGTCCGTCCGTCTGTCCGTCTGTCCGTCCGTCCGTCTGTTGGTCAACAAGATAACTCAATAACGCCTGGATGGATTGGTTTCATACTTGGTGTGTTGGTAGGGTGTGACGAAAACTGGAAATGATTAGATTTTGGTCCCCCTAGTGGCTTCCCTTGGTACTGCAGCGCAACTTCCGGTTTTGATATCTCGCGATCTGGACATGCTAGGGTCATGAAATTTTGATGGAAGGTAGCTCTCGCGCTTGGAAAGAAGTCATATGAGTTTGGGCCCCCTAGCGGCTTGTTCTGGAACTGCAGGGCACTTTCTGGCGAAATGTTTAAAAGCCAATAAGTCCAGACAGGAACAACATATTTTCATTATATTTGGTGTGTAGGTAGCTGAGAGAGAGATGTACATAATTAAATGCAAATTATGCAAATGAGGACCTAATTTGCATAATTAATGAGGAACTTCTATAATTACAGTGTTTTACATTATACAACTTACATACATGTAATGGCATGTAACCTATGGCAGGCGGAACTTTAACAGATACTAATTATGCAAATGAGACCCAATTTGCATAATTAATGCGAAAAGTCCAGACAGGAACAACAAATTTTCATTATTTTTGTTGTGTAGGTAGCTGAGAGAGAGATGTACATAATTAAATGCAAATTATGCAAATGAGGACTTAATTTGCATAGTTAATGAGGAAATTCTATAATTACAGTGTTTTACATTATACTACTTACATACATGTACATCACGATGCATATATCATGTTAATGCAGAGGTCATTTGCACAATTAAAGAAGAAATTTACATTTACATATCAAGATCATATTTCATGGAGGTATGAGATCTCGGAATTCCAGTTGTTTAATGTCTTTATCCTTTTATCATTTGTACATATATCTATAATAAAAAACACGGCGTACTCAAAAGACGGGATGTGGTGTGCTGTTTCCATTGTAAAAAGTTGAAATCGACATTATATACATATATGCATGTGAAATAACGTTACATTTCTTGTATGCACTTATTGTAATTACTAGATACTAGTAAGAGTCATTGGACTAAGAGTGACTTAGAGTGTTGGACACTCACAAAAACACAGGGGAGAAGGTTGAATGGCTCATACTATAGAATGATGAGAAATGTCTTAAACATCTTATGGACACAAAGAACATTACGCCGGTTACTAAAACAATACGGCAAAGGAGACTACGTTTTGTACGCCGCTGTTAGAGGGGAAAGGATGAGGTAGTACACAAACTCTTACTGTGGAACCCGAATCATGGAAACAGAAGCCGCGGAAGACCGCGTTTGACTTACATAAAGCAATTAGAAGCTGGCAGTGGAATGACTCTAAGTCAACTGCCTGCTGCGATGAGGATAGAGAGAAATGAAAAGAAAAGACAGCCATGGGGGAGACTTGGAGTGAGCTCGACGCAGTGAGTGAGGGACGATTCATTAATGTTTGATAGGTGAATGCTCTTGTCACAAAGTCTCACCTTTGCTCTGTACATGTGCTCGGTTTGGCATGAGTACTTATTGTGGGTGTTAAACTATGTACTCGTTTGGAACCACCAACACGTCCTTTTAAATCAATGCCATCGTCCCCTCGATCCAAGAACAGTGTTCTAACGGACGGGGAAACCTCCTTGTTTGAAACCACTCTGAAAAGAATCGAACATAGGTCAAAGTTGAGGACACGTGTTGACAACATGGCGATCTCACGGGAGCATACAGGTGGGAGTCTTCATCAACATTGTTTTTCTTATTCTTAACTTCTTTTTTTGTTGTGTGTGTGTGTGTGGGGGGGGAGGGTAGTTTTATGTAAGGACTGGTGTAAAAGTGCTGTAATATATGCATGCTGTCATAAATCTATTCCAAAGTTAAATGTATTTTTACGAAAACGTGTTTCATTGGCTTGGACTGGAGTTGAAATCATCTGGGTGTACATAGTTTTATCCAGTGTACAGCAGGATGTGCGTGTGTCGTCTTTTTGCATGACTCTTTAATGAAGAAGTGCATGTGTTTGGTAAAGGCATTAACATCATAGTTCCTCCATGTACAGTTACCAAAGGTCGCTGACCAGTCGCCCAAAGGCCGCTCTGCTTAACGGCAAACACATTAATTAACACAAACACATAAAACACACGGCAAAACAGCCTCAGGCCAGTCGCCCTTCCGGCGCACTTAAATCTAAACCGAAGGACCAACGTGTCATAAGGAAATGGGAATTTCTTATGAAGTTTACCTGCCTTATGGTGCAAAATGTTTTTTTCGGTCATTTTAAATGGTTTGTTTTGTCTGGCTAAAAACCAGTTAACAAACAAAAGGCATGGCCCACTTTGCGTGTAGAAAACATTGTTCATCCCTAAACAATAAGATTAAAACATTACTCATCGCATATCCTTAAACAAGCGGTCTAAAACACTACAGTATATTCTTAAACAATAAGTAATAAACGTATATTCTTAATAAGTAAGTCGAAGAGTTAGTCCAGTGAGAGTATGTTATTGGTTACGTGAAAATCTTAGACAAAAACATGTCCCTTTTCCCCTGCGTGTGTACCTAATACTTTGTTTGTACTAGTCATTGATTAGCTGGGAAAGTGTGGACACGGCGCGGTTAAACACGCATAATCAGTACCCAGTACTGACGCGGGACACTCTAACACACACCAACACAGACGTCTTAGTCGATGTCTGATATCTCATTATAACCCTCGTTGCAAGACAAATTCAACCATGCATAAAACACTACCGGCTACCGCGTCATTTCTTACTAAAACACGATTATACCCTTTCAGAGCCTCCAGTTTGACCTGGAACCTCGGATGGGAAAGTCATAGTGACGTCACGCACATAACAACACGTCATAAGGTTCTAAACATTCACGGTAAACCAAGACACACGGAGAACATGTACTTTTCCAAGGAACGAAGATTTGGAATATCAATGTCACTGTCAAGGGTAAGTATATGAGAAAGACTATTTTAATAGTTTGGGTTAAATACTTCTACAATTTGTGTTTTGTCACAAATTCCAGCGTTGAAGATTTGAAATTCACCAGATGAATTAAAGAAAAAGTATCTCTCAATATTTATGTAATCGCACGTATTTTCTTTCACACACGTTTAACATAATTCAGCTAGACGGACGTCCTACCCGGCTGTTGACGCCAATTAAATCTACTCATGATTCAATGTTACTGTTATTAAATAAATAATAAGGTTTAACATATCCAGGTCAACACGTATCCCAACTATTATGAAAGTTCAATGTGTTGGTAATTACATGTTTAGAGTCAAGACTTTGCAGGCTCGCGGCGCGGCGGCAGCTGGCTATATTACACCGATCGACTTGTTACACCTAACCCTTGAACTTCTAACTCTAGACATTGTTTAAAGCTATAATGACAATGTCCCTACTGTACTTGGTGACAGCGAGTTCCACTCTGCGATAGTTCTAGGAAAGAATGAATTCTTTAACACCTCAATCCTTGGTTGATAACTCTGGTACTTGAAGGCGTGGTTATTTCTTGTTCTCCTCAGGGCTGGTATTAGGTACTTAGTTGTTGGGACGTCCACCAGTTTACTAGTCATTTTGTTTCCGCAGGTCCCGCGGCGCGTGTGGCTCGTCGCGTCCCTGTCCGGCCTCGGCTTGATCCTGCTCGTGGCGGACAGAAGCAGCGTTTTTCGCAGCAGGGTGAGCAGACTGTTTTACCGGACTATCTTATTTATAAGATGTATCCTGAAAAAAGTAAAGACATGTTCTGATGTTTTTCTTCGTAGTTACAATAGGCAACATATATGCACAAACAAATGAATATGATTTGGTAAAGGTCGCAGATTTTATGTTCAGTATTATAGGGATGTATAACTTTGATTAACCCCCTTTTCCATCCGTTTTAGACTGTTCCAATGACCTTTCCCCCGCCAAACCTAATGGAAAGACAGAAAGACGCGAGCAAATTTACAAAGATTCCGTTTTCCGGTCCGGATTTTCCGGATTCTCCCGGTCACGTAGGCAAACCGGAACCTACCTCACACATACATCCGGAAACTCCGTTTCCTGTACCGGATCACTCACATCCTGTGAAACTTGATACTGCGCTCCGGAATATGACGGAGAATCCGTCTTCCCACAAGCAGCAATCCGGACCGGTGGCCTTTGATCTTGCCGACCCGCTCAGAGGATATGTCGGAGTGCCAGACGACTCAAAGGTCAGTAACCTTGTTTATTGTACATTTAATAGAGAACAGAATACGCGATAGAATTATCTATCAATCAAGATAAGACACGCAGCAGTGGCCTGAAATGGGAAAGTTTAATTGCTTTCCAAAGAAAAAAACGCCATTCAGTAAGTTCAAAGAACATTCAAGTACTAGTAACCATATATCAACTATCCACAGTTAACCTCGTACCAGTATATATATTATCACTATAGCTAAGGTGGTGATGGGGAGGTGGTGGGTCGAAATTCAAACGGAGCGGACCGAAACATGAACCGTCTCCCCCCAAAAACAGAACAAACTGAGAAAGTTCGAAGGTCACGTGGGGGAGCGGTCACGTGGTTTGTGGGCCGAACGAAATCATTTAGTTGTTTCTAATTACGAAAAATTTACATGGGGACAATTTTTCCCACATGAAAGGTAAGGAACAAACCGTGTTTGTTGGTTTTATTTTGTAGGCTTTATGCAAACTTACACAGTAACATCAAACGTAAACCTCTAACAGATTATAACTTCCTGTGTTTGTTTTCCATATCTTCTCAGCAACTGGATCTTCATTGTGGTGTCTGTGCCCTGGTGTCGAGTTCGGGTAAGCACATGGAATCAGACATACGGAATCTGTTCTATTCTGTTCTATTATATTCACACGAGTGTAAGGAAAAATCTACTTATAGCAGAGAAGAGACGAACGAAGCATAGTGTAACATTTCTCCCGTCCCAAATGTCTTGGTTTAAGAATATTGTTTAACCTTTTATTGTCAAGTTGCTGGACCATTCTTAATAAATTTTAATGTGTATTATGGCCAAATTCAGCAATGTAAGGATGTGTTGTAAATAAAAAAACAGTTCATCCATTCATCCATTCATCCTTTCATTCATTCATCCATTCATCCATTCATCCATTCATTCATCCTTTCATCCATTCATCCATTCATCCATTCATCCATTCATCCATTCATTCATCCTTTCATCCATTCATCCATTCATCCATTCATCCTTTCATCCATTCATCCTTTCATCCTTTCATCCATTCATCCTTTCATCCATCCATTCATCCATTCATTCATCCTTTCATCCATTCATCCATTTATCCTTTTATCCATTCATCCTTTCATCCATTCATCCATTCATCCATTCATTCATCCTTTCATCCATTCATCCATTCATCCATTCATCCATTCATCCATTCATCCATTCATTCATTCATTCATCAAAAGAGGTCACTACCTATTTTTTCTTCACTGACTCGAGCGTTTTCCGGTTGCCCATATTAGGGCAGCTGCTGTACTACAAGGCTGGGAACGAGATCGAACAGGCCGATTGCGTCATCAGGATGAACGAGGCTCCCGCTATCGGGTTCGAAGAGCATGTCGAGAGAAAAACCACCCTGCGCGTCATGTGTTTCAAGTCTATCTACCTGGTCTGTATCCACATTTCGTTACCTCTTCCTAACAAACCACCAACCATCACGTGCACTTCAACTCTCAGTCATGACTGTTCCGAACATCAACAAACCATCACTACCTTCCAACTCTCAGGCCTTCCCCTGTAGGTGATCTGTGATCTCACGCCTTCCCTTGTAGGTGATCTGTGATCTCACGCCTTCCCTTGTAGGTGATCTGTGATCTCACAACTGTAGGTGATCTGTGATCTCACAACTTCCCCTGTAGGTGATCGGTGATCTCACAACTGTAGGTGATCTGTGATCTCACAACTGTAGGTGATCTGTGATCTCACAACTTCCCCTGTAGGTGATCTGTGATCTCACAACTTCCCCTGTAGGTGATCTGTGATCTCACGCCTTCCCCTGTAGGTCATCTGTGATCTCACGCCTTCCCTTGTAGGTGATCTGTGATCTCACAACTGTAGGTGATCTGTGATCTCACAACTTCCCCTGTAGGGGATCTGTGATCTCACAACTTCCCATGTAGGGGATCTGTGATCATATGCCTTCCCCTGTAGGGGATCTGTGATCTCACGCTTCCCCTGTAGGTGATCTGTGATCTCACAACTTCCCCTGTAGGTGATCTGTGATCTCACGCCTTCCCCTGTAGGTGATCTGTGATCCCATGCCTTCCCCTCTAGGGGATCTGTGATCCCATGCCTTCCCCTGTAGGGGATCTGTGATCTCACGCCTTCCCCTGTAGGTGATCTGTGATCTCATGCCTTCTCTGTAGGTGATCTGTGATCTCATGCCTTCCCTGTAGGTGATCTGTGATCTCACGCCTCCCCCTCTAGGTGATCTGTGATCTGCGATCTCACGCCTTTCCCTGTAGGTGATTTGTGATCTCATGCCTTCCCCTGTAGGTGATCTGTGATCTCACACTTCCCCTCTAGGTGATCTGTGATCTCACAACTTCCCCTGTAGGTGATCTGTGATCTCACTATTCCCCTGTAGGTGATCTGTGATCTCACAATTCCCCTGTAGGTGATCTGTGATCTCATGCCTTCCCCTGTAGGTGATCTGTGATCTCACAACTGTAGCTGATCTGTGATCTCACAACTGTAGGTGATCTGTGATCTCACAACTGTAGGTGATCTGTGATCTCACGCTTCCCCTGCAGGTGATCTGTGATCTCATGCCTTCCCCTGTAGGTGATCTGTGATCCCACGCCTTCCCCTGTAGGTGATTTGTGATCTCACGCCTTCCCCTGTAGGTGATATGTGATCTCACGCCTTCCCCTGTAGGTGATCTATGATTCCATGCCTTTCCCCTGTAGGTCCCCGACAAAACTACTCTGTTTTCCTACGCGGGAAACTCCACGTTGCTGGGTTGGGGGCCTCCACGCGACATGGACACAGCGAAAGGAAAGGCCTACCGGAAACTGGAGAGATTACAAGCCAGCTACCCTGAGCTGGAGGTTTACAAACTGACGGAAGACAGGATTCAGTACGCCGACAGGGTGTTTGAGACGGAGACCGGACTTCCAAGGTGGGTTAGAGACTAATATTCTACAGACTTATGTTCAGAAAGTGGCGGGAATAACCAATACATGATTACACCACAATATGTACAAACCGTCGTTTGTGTGATCCAAAGAACATCTAAACATAGTTTTTAAATCTTTCTCCCAGGAAAAAAATCCGGGGCCTGGCTGAGCACGGGTTGGTTCACCATGCTGGTTGCCATGGATATATGTGACGTCATCAAAGTGTACGGCATGATCAGTGAGGACTACTGCAGGTAAGTGGTATTAAACAGTTTAAAAGGTGTTAAGTAGTTTTATGGTTGCTCCTGGAAATAATCTTATAAAACTACACTTGTTTCATTCTAGATTTATTCTGTTGTAATTTACAGAAGAGACGTTCTAAGTTAGCTATGCTGCCATGGCGCCGTTTTTATCCGTGGTATTTAATTAGTTGATGGCACTGATCCTAATCATGTTAGTTATGCAGCGGTGACAGTTGACACACATTATGATCCTTTTATCTCGGTTTTCCCGTGCAGAACCCACCCTGCCGACCAGACGCTGTATCACTACTTCTCCGGCCCGGGTTCCCTGACAGAGTGCGGTTACTACAGATCCCAGCAGAACAGTCGCCATGGCGGGCACCGTCTGGTCACGGAGAAAACTGTTTTCGCGCGCTGGGCGCGGCACAACAACATCACTTTTCTCTATCCCTCCTGGGACCCATAGGCGGTACCTCGGACAGCCGCTAGGGGGCCACAGAACAACATCACCTTCCTTTACCCCTCCTGGAACCCATAGGCAGTTACCTCGGACAGCCGCTAGGGGGCCACTGAACAATATCACCCAATATATTATCACTTACCCAAAACTTCATCACCACATCAGAACGTTTTTAAAAGATTTAAATTTCCCCCTTCGTTATTTATGTACTGTGTCCTGTTAGCCATCATTTATCATTGGGAGGGGAACCGGACCTGCGCTGTTGAATTTCTTGTATTTACTGTTTTTTGCCAGTCCTAAAGTTGCGATTGTTTCTTTTCTTTATTATATGTATTTATTTAGTGGCGCCGTCAACATAAGTGCTTTCCACTTGAGGGAGGCACCACCATGTCCTGTATCCTTTTTTCAAGTGAATGAATTAAAAAAATATATATCACCTTTCTGTACCCCTCCTGGGAGCCATAGGCAGTACCTCAGACAGCCGCTAGGGGGCCACAGAACAATATCACCTTTCTCAACCCCTACTGGGAGCCGTAGGCAGTAGGCAGTACCTCAGACAGTCGCTAGGGGGCCACAGAACAATATCACCTTTCTGTACCCCTCCTGGGAGCCGTAGGCAGGTCCGCCAGACAGCCGCTAGGGGGCCACAGAACAATATCACCTTTCTCAACCCCTACTGGGAGCCGTAGGCAGTAGGCAGTACCTCAGACAGTCGCTAGAGGGCCACAGAACAATATCACCTTTCTGTACCCCTCCTGGGAGCCGTAGGCAGGTCCGCCGGACCCGCTAGGCGGCGCAGACGCAATGTTTTAATGTAATGGACATTTTATCAGATGCAAACAAAGCTACCTCCCCTTGAACTTTTACCATTCGCAAAGCTACCTCCCCTTGAACGTTTGTCAGGAACAAAGCTACCTCCCCTTTCTGAACTCAGACCGAAGAGTGTACTTTCTGTACGTTTTGAGTAAAGGTTGAAAAAAAAAACTTCTCAAGGACGCCAACACCAGGGCACGGGAACCTATCATGACCAGTGCAATAAAAAATGCAAATTGAACAAAAAGAACCAAGCATGTATGTGTGTGTGTGAGAGAGAGAGAGAGAGTGTGTGTGTGTGTGTATGTGTTTGTGTGTGTTTGTGTGTGTGTGTTTGCGTGTGTTTGTGTACATTAGTGCATGTGCGCTCTCGAGTACGTGTGTCAATATATTTTGTGTGTCTATATGTCATGTAATATGTTGAAAAAACATACAAGGCTCCTTAATACGTTTGCGCGAGTTTATTTCGACATTATTTTACTTTTCATGGGATTTTGAATGAATCATTTACAAACAAGAAGGTTTGTGTCCAGGCTTTTTTGCGTGTGGATGCGGTCAGGTCACCACCAGCTGCTGACCCAGTCGCTGACGGAGGTTGACCAATCAGAGACCTTAGTGGAGGCGGTGTCCAGCCAATCAGAGACGCGGGTCGAAGCTGACTCCCACCAACCAGGTGCCTTGGCGATGACGTCATTGTAGGTGGCGGAGGCCCAGTCGGTGAGTCTATGGGATGCATTACTCATTAAACAAAGTAACTAACAAACAAACTAACAACGTAACTAACAAACTAACAATCTAACATTATTCCCTTGGTGAACATGGAGGTCAAAACCTTAGCAATTGTAAAGAGAGCGTACAGAAAGAGCCTTAATTCCACGCCCAGACAGAAATGAATACGTACTGTCCCCTCCCTATATCCCACCCCCAGACAGAAGTGAATACGTACTGTCCCCTCCCTATATCCCTCCCCCGGACAGAAGTGAATACGTACTGTCCTCACCCTTTATCCCACCCGCAGACAGAAGTACATACGTACTGTCCCCACCCTATATCCCTCCCCCAGACAGAAGTGAATACGTACTGTCCCCACCCTATATCCCTCCCCCAGACAGAAGTGAATACGTACTGTCCCCAGTAGCCCTGGATCTGCTGGTAGATGCTGTAGTAAACGCCGCTGGACTGTAGGTAAGAAAAAAGGCAACGACTAGAAACAAAATGCACATTTCTTTTAAGGTGCATGCAGCTAACGTACTGCCATCGCGCCTATACCGCAACCTGTAAGTTACTAGTACCTCGGAGGGATTTGCAGAATAGTTTTTACGGTAGCCTCTTTCGCAGACTTGTAAGGCACGGCGTTATTTTCGGTGACCGACGCGAGTTATTTCGCGCAGGGACGATTTTGCCGCCGGGGGAGTTTTGCTTGGAAGAGGCGGGGGAAGGATTTTGCACAGAAACCGTCTGACCCAGGCAAAACTCCCCCGGCGGCAAAATCGTGCCTCCGCGAAATAACTCGCGTCGCTCACCGAAAAAAACGCCGTGCCCCCCAAGTTTGCGAAAGAGGCTAGTTTTGCGGTGATTTGGACTTTACCAGGTCAAACGACATTCGTGCTAGCCTTACCCTGTCATCCGTCTGGCAGGTTCCCTCCATGTCAGCGCGGAAACAGCGGACACACTGCAGACCCTCGGCGCACCTGCAACATAAAACACCTGTCAGCACACCTGCAACACAAACCACCTGTCAGCACACCTGCAACACAAAACACTTTTCAGCAAACATGCAACACAAAACACCTGTCAGCACACCTGCAACAACACAAACCACCTGTCAGCACACCTGCAACACAAAACACCTGTCAGCACACATGCAACAACACAAAACACCTGTCAGCACACCTGCAACACAAACACCTCTCAGCACACCTGCAACAACACAAAACACCTGTCAGCACAACTGCAACACAAAACACCTGTCAGCACACCTGCAACACAAAACACCCGTCAGCACACCTGCAACACAAAACACCTGTCAGCACACCTGCAACAACACAAAACACCTGTCAGCACACCTGCAACACAAAACACCTGTCAGCACACCTGCAACAACACAAAACACCTGTAAGCACACCTGGGGCAACACAAAAACACCTGTCAGCACACCTGCAACACAAAACACCTGTCATCAGTCTGGCAGGTTCCCTCCGTATCAGCGCGGAAACAGCGCACACACTGCAGACCCTCGGCGCACCTGCAACATAAAACACCTGTCAGCACACCTGCAACAACAAAACACAAAACACATTTTCTTTTTTATATGAAATACGAAAATCTACAAGACATTAACTTAAAGAGCAGTTATGACCGGATAATGTGTCCGTTCTAGGACGAGCTTCACCGCCTCTGGCGGGACCATGTTGGCATTCAGCCAAGATACGCTGGGAGTGGGGCAACAGCAAGCGGGTCCTTGACCTCTGACATTGATACGACGACACCTTGCGCCTTTTCATCAAACAGCAATAATATTAGTTTTATAACAGCAATAACATTAGGCGAATCGTGCTTGGGCACGACTCCGGAGGAACGTGCGACACTTGGAGCAGATGTGAAGAATGCGATTCACCAGATACGCGGTTCCAACGCTTTCGTCTGAACAGGGCCAAACCAGCTGTTCTGGGCGGATGTTATTGCTTGCAAAGGCGGAAGGATATCGACCCGCCGGTGACCTGTTTACCCACCTATCGATCCCTCCGCAGGGGCAGGTCTGGGAAACCTGCAGGGTGCGGGCGGTGACGTCATCCTGGGTGCCGCAAACCGGGCAGCACTCGTACGGGTTGGTGTGACGTAACGGCACGCATGCGCGGTCCAGCGGCTCGCACTCCGTGTACTCACAGTACTCCTACGCCGGCAGAAAATAGTCCCCGTTAGGGTTTCTCTCTGACATTATTGTATCCATACGCCGGGAAAAAAACACAATGGGCTCCCGTACATTTCTACTGACAAGTCGCCAGGTTTCCTCTTTATACGTACATTTCCATGTTACCGAACAACTTTCTCTGCAGCTGGCCAAAAACTCGAGATCCTCCCGGCAACCCCGAGTGTCTTACTCCAGGGAAATTGATTAGATGTTCTGAATCATAAAATCATATCCGTATGCCCAGGATTAAAACCCAAGATTCCTACTCATTCTCTCGATCGAGTTTGAAACGTTACTTTTTTGTAGCTCGCTATACATGTACATGTACGTACCATAGCTGTACTAGTAGCTAAGTCAAAGAAATAGCCGACATATCGGGCCCTCATATACGGAGTATATATCCCAAATATATACGGCATATCAGACCCCGTATACGGCACGTCAACTCCTCATACAAGGTGTATTACATCTCACTTACGGCGTATTATTCCCTCAAATGTGGCGTATCAAACCCCATATACGTATCGGTATCAAACACCATGCATGCACTACGTATCAGGTACCCATACGCTACGTATCAGGTACCCATATACGACGTATCAGCCTCCCATATACCGCGTATCAGCCCTACCCTGGGCAGCAGTATCCCCTCCACCGTCACCAGCAGCAGAGCGGCGCAGATTCCCAGCAGGACCTTCATGTCGGCAGCTCTCGGCTTTACACGGCACGACGGACAGACGGACAGATTATCTACACGGCACGACGGACAGGTTTATACGGCAGGACGGGCAGATATCTGAAGCTGTCAGATCTATAGATACGGCAGGGCGCTCAGGTTTCAGCCAGTCTGTAAAGTTTTGCGAACGTGGCCGATTTTAGACGACGTCGCAGATATTGTGTTTGTATCGCGATGTACTTTGTACTTTGGTCGTTCGCGCTGAAGTGTTTTGAACAAGTGGGTAGTAGTAAAAACATGTCAAGGTGCGCACCAGGCGATTATTTTTGGTACTGCAGGTGTCCATTGTAAACAGCTGGGCCTCATCAAACCTGTGACGTCATGATAAACAGTCACGTGCTGGCAGGCGTCTCCAAGCAGATGTTGGGTGGAAGCTAATGCCATTTTCTGATGCCGGGTGGGACTTATTTTGGGGTTGGTCGGTTGAAGAGTTTTTTAACAGATTAAATGCGCTTGAAGCCGGGCAGGGTTACATGGGAAGTCTTTCTTACGGAAGCCGTTCTGAACAAGGACAAATGAAGGAGGTTTAAATCAAGGAGTATTCTTAACGTACTTGTTCCGAGTTTATTACCCGAAGGCTTCGTGAGTGATATAGTTTGGTTTATTTGTATTTGTAAATCTCTTTGCAGCCAAGAGCGGCTGCAAGTATGATGCATTGTTTATACTGCCTAGTCTGCATCGCCGCGGCTCATCATGGAGGGCCTGCAAGCCCTTTTTCGTAAGGCGTAATCAGGCCGTTTTAGACTTTCTAATTCGTAGGCAGCCTCCGCAAAAATCAACGTAATTCGTAATTGGACATTAGCCGCAAATCGTACAGTCGTAATCAGCTCTGAGACTTTAACATAATTCGTAATAGGCGGCGAAAATTTTGCGTAATTCGTAATCACTACCCCCCTTGCAGGCCCTCATCATGGTCTGCATCAGCAGTTCTCCTGACAATAATGTAAAAATATTTACAATTACGAATTACAATTCGGGTACCTTCGTCTGCCCTAAACCACCGTGACAGTGCATTTTTGCGAATTACAGCAAATTAAGTTGACCGGAAGAGCGAATGTCACACACCCGCCTACATTGCAGCGCAGTAACTGGACACGTGTTTACTGAGACCGTCGCTATTTCGGGCGGCAGCAGAGCTCCGGGCCGGATGACGCAAGGCGATGGGAACGGACCGTCCGTTTTGTATTTCTTTCGGGGTGCGACTTTGGTATTGCAAAGCTGCTGTGTTGCGCCGAAGGGCGGTTATACCGGCTATACAGATACAGAAGTTGATTTTTAATGGAGTTCTTTATTCTAATTTCAAACTTTGACAATGGGTACAGAATGTAGTGATGTAAAATATGTAATTATGCTAACTTTAGTTTTACGATCTACTTAATATCTTTATTTAGCTTTCTTTCTATAATATTTGTACATGATAAAGAGTGGGTATGAAATAAATAAACAGATATATTAAGAGAAACATGGTAACTGCTATTCTACTAGTATTCTATTCTATTCTATTCTATTATACTATTCTAGCCAAGCTATAAGCAGATTCGGGGTTTGACTTTTAATGGTTTATAATACATCATGTAAACACCTGCATGCAACGATGGACCACCCCTTTATCACAAACGGACAGTCCCGTTGTTTTGGTGTCTAGAGTCGAGCGTCTGTCAGACCAAACCGTTCCACGGACCTCGGTTGCAGTGACAGCCAGGACCAAGGTAAGATTTAAATTATATATAATATACAATAACTGTTCCAAATAACTAATAATGTTGCCTATCAATAGCAAGGAATAGGGTAAGAGTAGTGTTGTTCCCGCCTATAGACTTTTTATACCTAGAAAGTTTTGTGTAAATTGGCCGAGTAGCGGAAATCATTTTGCCAGACGACCAAAGTTGGAGACAAAACTCTTAGTTTTGCAGCCACTAACGTTAACGTCTGGTGGAGATTCTACAGTAGACTGTTAGCTTATTGGAACCATGGCAGTAAACCGCACTTGGAGCGTGATATGTGCGCGTACGTGGCTAAATCAGAGCTAAATATAACCAGATATGACCCCCCTCCCCACCGGGTGTGCGGAAAAACCCGTCCCGTCTGGGCTGCCGGGGGGGGGGGTGTCCTAGCTGAGCATAGGGTCTGCATGGGGGTTTCTGGCGACGCCTAATGACCTAGCTGAGCATATAGGGTCTGCATGGGGTTTCTGGCGGCGCCTAATGTCCTAGCTGAGCATAGGGTCTGCATGGGGGTTCCTGGCGACGCCTAATGTCCCAGCTGAGCATAGGGTCTGCATGGGGTTCCTGGCGACGACTAAAGCTAGCTGAGCATAGGGTCTGCATGGGGGTTTCTGTTGACGCCTAATGCAGAATTCGGCAGGATTGGCCACGATGCCAACATCTATCCCATAATCCCCAAGCTCTTTCTTTTAGCCTGTCAAACTGTATCCAACTCTACTGTAGATCTGCTTGGAGATTATCTCTTTAGGGGTGGAAAGCGGTCTAAAAACTTCTGGGATAGTACTCTAAATGTTACAGCAATGTAGGTAAATCCAGGAGGGCATATTAAACGTTGGATGAATCCAATATTTCTTTGAGAAGTAACAAAAAAATGATCACATAATATACATGTAGTAAGGGTTGTATGCAGTTGGCAAACTCAATCAATGGTTTTAAGTTTATAAAAGTTATGTCATCCGTGCAAGTCACCTTAACGTATTGCGTATGAACAAGGAGATAATTGATTTTGACCTGCTAAAATGGTCTAAAGGAACATTTATTTCCAGACTAGTATGCATGACTCATTACTTTTGGTGTCTATTTGGAAATCTTACAAACCAGAAACTCGGCATGGCACCTGCCAGGCAATCTCTTAGTGTGCCAGTGCAAGGACATATGCCATTCTATATGTCATTCTTTAATAACCTGCGTCCCGTTTTCATGTGCAGCCACACATTCACGTCATGGCCTGACCTGGCAGGCACCCAGGTTTTTCCGTAAACCCGATCAGCGCAGGCCCCGGAAACAGTCTGGCATCCAGGCTATCAATAGTCTGGCATCCAGGTATCAATAGTATCATTATGCAGCTGTACGGGCCCAGCTATTTCCGGGTGTAGTGTCGCAGCAGGGCAGAAGAAGAAAACTCGGTTATAACCTTTTGTGTTTAGTTCATCTTTTATTTTGTAGATGTTATAGGGCCTTATAGTTATATATCAATAAAGAAACACCTTGGGTGGATCAAGGTCGCAGACTACAGTATTAGTATGTGGCAGTGCCGTACGTGTAACTATGCGGCCTGTACCGGGGCAGTGCCGTACGTGCCGTACGTGTAACTATGCGGCCTGTACCGGGGCAGTGCCGTACGTGCCGCACGTGTAACTATGCGGCCTGTACCGGGGCAGTGCCGCGCATGTAACTATGCGGCCTGTACCGGGGCAGTGCCGTACGTGCCGCACGTGTAACTATGCGGCCTGTACCGGGGCAGTGCCGTGCGTGCCGCACGTGTAACTATGCGGCCTGTACCGGGGCAGTGCCGTCCGTGCCGCACGTGTAACTATGCGGCCTGTACCGGGGCAGTGCCGTACGTGCCGCACGTGTAACTATGCGGCCTGTACCTGGGCAGTGCCGTACGTGCCGCACGTGTAACTCTGCGGGCCTGGATATACCCGCCTTGTCAGGCGTTGACCTGTGGAGGCCAGTGCCCTCTTCACTAACCCGACAATAGGGACAAACTGGTTTGCTCGGTAACGACAATAGGGACAGACTGGTTTTCTCGGTAAACATGCTTGTACCAGCCGACTTCAGGGTAGGGATATCGTCAGCAAGATTTAAATAGGACAGGAAAACCAAACATCTATGTTGTATTTCTACTTTGTGATTATAGTTTGCAGTTGCTGTACTTTTTCATGGCCCAATAAATCTTAAAGTTTAATCCTGGACGTTCCAAGTCAAACTGATTATATTTCTGATAATCAATCATGAATCTACCTGTGTATAAGTTGTTGTTGTCATTGAATACCGTGGATGGTTTTCAAAGACAAGTCAAAGTGTCCGGCCGTTTCGAGTGACATTCTACACTCTTCTTTATGATTTATCTTTCCTTTTTAATGTCTGGAACTGATCTCAGTTTTCAGTGGAGTTTGAATTGTCCTTAAACAGTGTTAACCGGGAGTCTAACCTTCATCACTGCGGCTGTTTGATGTGGTTAAAACACGATCGTCGTTTTGTCTACACAGTCGTGACATGTATATGCGCATGCGCCCGTATGGTATCCTTGCGTGCTGTTTTTAGGGCCAGAGTCTGTGGGCATGCGCAGGAAGAATGTGGTGTCATTGTTGCAATGTGCAAACTACAAAGATCAGGCAAACACTGTTATCAGCTATGCACACACACCTCAGGTATGACTCAAACAAGTCATGGCATGCTAGGACTAGTAGGAGGGGAACTAAACTTACTAGAAACATTTACGCCTCCAAGTACGTGCTGTTTTATATGGTCATGAGTGGTTTTCATTCCGTAGAAAACCAGAGAAATATTTACATTGAATCCGCAGCGATCGGACAGGTGCGTCCACAAACAGACTAATGCATTGGTTAGGAACCCCCCCCCCTGGAAAGTGGTAGGTGCCATTAAGTAAGATTGCGTAATACCTGATCACAAGTCACATTTTCTGCTGATCACTGCTCGGAAAACAACAGCTCGGAAAGTGGCACCGCTTGGTACGTACCTGCTTCAATAGCTCGGATAGTCCTCTAGGTACGTGTTTCTTAGCTGGGGAATTGTTGTAGAACCGTGTTTTTAGATACGTATTTCGCACACACACGGAGACAAACACACTAACCAGGATTTTTGTAAATTTGTGGACCCAAAATCAGTGCACGTAAATTTTAGGCCGAAAATAACTGGCCAAGGTCCAGGCTTTGGCGGATATGTCTGTTTGTCCATTTTCATCTCGTTGTATATCAACAATCAAGATGATACAGTTTATTCTTTAAGTGTTTAGTCAAAACTAAGTTATGTTTTTCCACCAGAATAGTAAGAACATTGCCTTCCTCAGGGGAAGTCTATCTAAACCTGTCTTATATTAGGGGATACCTGTAAATTCTGAAGCAGCTACGAGCAGCTACAAGCCAAACTGTAGCAACTAAGGGGCGAGTCCTACAGTCTCCTGCCTGTCTCCCAGTATACCAACCCTTTTCTAACCCGGGCCGCCAGCTCACGAACCCAACTCACTAACCGCTAGGCCGAGAGGTCCGGGTGGGCTTTACCGGTCAGTTGTTATCACTTGAACCCCGCTGCTGCCTCACGACTTGTGAGACTTAATTCAGGCTATCATTTGTTGTGATAGCAAACAGAATCATGCTGCAGAACTCACCATGATTTTACACCTGTTTATTACTTTGCTTATTTTGTTACTTCTAACCACAGAAGAACTCGGCATGCACGCCATGATGAAGACCCTGACCTTTGCCCTTCTCGTGCTGCAATGCACCCTGGGAGCCAGGAGGGACGACAACCAATGGCTGCTCAGCAGGGAGGAAGCTGGAGATCGGGACAATGACGTCAGTAGTTTCTGTTCTGTACGCAAAAACAGAAGGAACGCTGCATCTGTCTATGGAATGTTTCATTGGCATTTCTTTTTATATGATCTTTGTCTTCTAAAAACTGGAATGAACTGTCTATTGTATAAGACCACGGCTTGGTAGCAGGAACTGTAGATATATGTAGACGCAAGGCTGTTATATAAAGCATATTTTGACTTGGGGATTTTATCGTCATTAACACACTGCTTTGTAACCCTCCAACTTCCACAGCACTGAAATACATTGGAAGAAATCACTGCATTGTGTATTTGGAATAACTGATGCAGACTCAAACAAGAAGACACACGCGCGCGTGCACGCATACACACACGCACACACGCACACACACGCACACACACGCACACACACACACACGCACACACACACACACACACACACGCACACACACGCACACGCAAACACACACACGCATACACACACGCACACACACACACGCACACACACAAGCACACGCACACACACGCACACGCACACGCAAACACACACACACACACGCATACACACACACACACACATACTCACACACACACACACACTCACACACACACACACACACACACACGCACACACACACACACTCACACACATACATAAACACAAACACACACAGAGAGAGAGAGAGAGAGAGAGAGAGAGAGACGGAAACATGGACAGACAGTAAAAATGATTCAGTCCGTTGTTTTATAGTAATCGGGATCTGTTGATTTTGCAGGACTTTGCCAAGCAGAATTACCACGAGGACTGTGAGGCCGGAATCAACAAGCAGGTCAACCTGGAGATGTCGGCCAGCTACACCTACAGGTCCATGGTAAGCTGGAGCAAACTAACCTAGACATATAATACTACACGGTGTATTCAGTATCGCCCAAGGTACATGCCCGACAGTCGGTCGGATCGCCCTACACCTACAGGTCCATGGTAACAAAACGAACCTAAAATACCATATATAGCAGGTCCAATAATGGAGCTTAACATCAGAAGAGGCCGTTTTCTACATTATGATTAGGACCGGACAGCAGAAAGCACCTAACGTGTTCTTGCTGTGTTCCCCGTACTCTAACCGTGCCGGCACCTAACGTGTTTCCCGTACTCTAACCGTGCCGGCACCTAACGTGTTTCCCGTACTCTAACCGTGCCGGCACCTAACGTGTTCTTGTTGTGTTTTCCGTACTCTAACCGTGCCGGCAAAGTAAGCGTGTTCTTGTTGTGTTTCCCGTACTCTAACCGTGACGGCACCTAACGTGTTCTTGTTGTGTTTCCCGTACTCTAACCGTGCCGGCACCTAACGTGTTCTTGTTGTGTTTCCCGTACTCTAACCGTGACGCCACCTAACGTGTTTCCCGTACTCTAACCGTGCCGGCACCTAACGTGTGCTTGTTGTGTTTCCCGTACTCTAACCGTGACGGCACCTAACGTGTTTCCCGCACTCTAACCGTGACACCACCTAACGTGTTTTTGTTGTGTTTCCCGTACTCTAACCATGCCGGCACCTAACGTGTTCTTGTTGTGTTCCCCGTACTCTAACCTTGTCGGCACCTAACGTGTTCTTGTTGTGTTCCCCGTACTCTAACCGTGACGGCACCTAACGTGTTCTTGTTGTGTTTCTCGTACTCTAACCGTGCCGGCATAACGTGTTTCCCGTACTCTAACCGTGCCGGCACCTAACGTGTTCTTGTTGTGTTTCCCGTACTCTAACCGTGACGGCACCTAACGTGTTCTTGTTGTGTTCCCGTACTCTAACCGTGCCGGCACCTAACGTGTTTCCCGTACTCTAACCGTGCCGACACCTAACGTGTTCTTGTTGTGTTTCCGTACTCTAACCGTGCCGGCACCTTAACGTGTTTCCCGTACTCTAACCGTGACCGGCAACTAACGTGTTCTTGTTGTGTTCCCCGTACTCTAACCGTGACGGCACCTAACGTGTTTCCCGCACTCTAACCGTGCCGGCACCTAACGTGTTCTTGTTGTGTTTCCCGTACTCTAACCGTGACGGCACCTAACGTGTGCTTGTTGTGTTTCCCGTACTCTCACCGTGACGGCACCTAACGTGTTCTTGTTGTGTTTCCCGTACTCTAACCGTGACGCCACCTAACGTGTTTTTTGTTGTTGTCTTTTTACTCCAGGCGTCGTACTTTAACCGTGACGACATTGCGCTGAAGGGCGTTGCCGGGTTTTTCCGTCACCAGGCGGAAGAGGAAATGGAGCACGCCCGTCTGCTGGAGGAATACCAGAACAAGCGCGGCGGGAGAGTCGTGTACGAGAACCTCAAGAAACCAGAGAAGGTGTGTATGTCTATATAAGGTATCGCGGTATGTGCGTACAAGGTGTGTATGCCTATATAAGGTATCGCGGTATGTGCGTATAAGGTGTGTATGTCTATATAAGGTATCGCGGTATGTGCGTATAAGGTGTGTATGTCTGGAGCTTGATGTTCAGATTTTCACGTGCAGAATAAAGCAGCTTAGATACGGAAAGGGTGGGGCAGCGGGAACTCTGTGCGCTATGTTAATAAGTAGAGTTACTGAGGATTGTTCTTTAGGACAACATTGGGTTACAACCAGTTATGTTGAGTAGAATTAATGCAGACCTGTTCCGTTGTACAGGACACGTGGGGCAGCGGGAGATGTGTGAGTCATGTGTGTGTGTACGTTGAGTAGAATTAACGCAGAACTGTTCCGTTGTTCAGGACACATGGGGCAGCGGAAATGTGTGTGAGTTATGTGTGAGTTATGTGTTATTATCATATAGCCGGGTGACGTTGACCAATCAGAAGGCTCCATTCCACATTCTTTATGTCGCCGTAATGTCACAAATAGAGTCAAAATCGGGTATTTATTCATCCCAATCCATACATTAAACAAAATGAATAATCACCCGTATATGACCTCAGGTGACCCAATAGAACACGGCTCTACTTCTAAAAAATCCAAAAATAACTTGAGTTGTGTTCCGATGACCCCGGGTGACTCCCATAAGAACACCTGTTCCCTGTCTGTGACCCAGATAGAAGGCCATAGAACGTGAACCCCGAATGACCTCAGGTGACTCCAGATGGAACAATATTCTATGTTCTATTCAGCATGTGCAAGGGGTAAATTGTACATTGTGTCACTCTTCACTGCATCAGTTTGGATAGGCTATCGCGTAAGCTATATGATAATAGCGTTAATGCCCCGCCCTTTCTCGGTGAATATGGTGTGATAAAGCCTTGTCAGTTGCTATAACAACCTCATAAAGCCACCTCGTTCGCTGCGCTCACTTGGTGGCTTTATTCGCGATCGGTGGTTATAGCAACTGACAAGGCTTTATCACACCATATTCACCTCGGGGCAGGACATTAACCCTTAATTAACGTTTGTTGGTTGTTGTTCAGGACACGTGGGGCAGCGGTCTGGAGGCCATGCAGGACGCGTGGGGCGAGTGGGAGATGTGTGCGTTATGTGTGTGTGTATGTTGAGTAGAATTAATGACTGGTCTGTTGTTCAGGACACGTGGGGCAGCGGTCTGGAAGCCATGCAGGACA